AATTTTGATTGAAGGAATCCACAGTAGGTGAGATGTATATATATATATATACTGTCTCATATGCATGCATGTAAAAAATAGTTTTTAATATAAAATGCACGGATGCATGCGGAAATTTTATTTGAGTTTAAATTGATTGACTACCACTGCCAGTATATTATCTGCTTCGTATTTCCGGATACTGACTATTGAGGAATAAAAATTGTACTAGATTAATTTGGTGGTTGGCAGCATTTCTAATAAAAGATCTTCAGCAATTGACTGCAAATGCAATAAAAATAGAAAACGCACTTGTAAGCTGGAAGATAATGGGGCAGGTGCAATTTTCACTTCTGATAAGACCCTTTTTTTTTTTTCCCTTTTTTTTGAAGTTGTAATTCATTACAAACCGTTAAAGGGGTAGAGGATAGTACAAACAAAGCCGAGCAAAAGCACTGACCATAAAACTAACAGAAAGCAAACAAGAACAAATTTAGCTAAACTAGTACAGTATATCATGAAGATCATATTTATGAACCAAAAACTAAAATGTCAAAAGCCAACAAAAAGGCATTTAGCCCACATAAAAGCATATAGCCCACAAAGCTGATAAGACCTTCTCTCTCGCGAAAGGCTTGTAACTCTATTTATGGACTATGGAGCCCTTTTGGACTTTAACCCAAGCTCATCCTATGGACTATGGAGCAGATCTTTCAGTCCAAAATCAAATCAAACCCATATAACTTCCAAGTTTTGTGGCCAATCGAACCCAAGTTTGTGAGGTGATTTGTTTAACTGGGCTACTTTCATTTGTGTATGCGATAACTGTAGCCCTGCTTTTGAGTCCAATTGGTAAGCAAGGCCAGGTCAGACTAAGCCTCGTGTCCCATTGGATCAAATTGGTTAGCCTGATCCAACAGTTAAGAGATAGGACATCATCTAAGGGGCATATATAAGGCCCTCACTATAGAATGACTCCTTCACATATTTGTAGACATGAGTTAAGTGAGTTGGCCAGAGAAGTGAGCCCGCTCTTTGTACCTAAGTTCGAATCCCTTTTTCCGTAGATTAAATTATCACTTGTATTTAAAAGAAGGAAAAAACAATCTTGACATAACTAATTTTCCTTATCCTTTTATCTTTTCTCTTTTTGAGCAATCCATTTAGATATACCTTGGATATTTCATTTTCTTATTATAGATAGGAAAATTCTACAATGTGCCCAGTGCATGGATGCACCTATTATGGACCATTGGATGAGTAGTTGGGGCATGTGGGGTAATCCACACCGTTGATTGTTGGTTATCGGTTAAATGGACAAAAGAAAGAAAGAAAGAAGTTCTAAATTCTATGTTGTTTTGTCCCTTCAAACCCAAGAGAACCTATGCCTCGACTACACGAAGGATAGACGTAATAGAGCATCACAAAATGAGTGGAAAATGTCATTCACAAACGAAAACAACCCATTACCTAACCCCAAAATACAGAAAAAAATCAAAAGCATAATCCTGCAACAAATTACTGACAAATTAATCAACCTGCACCACACTGTAAGTCTATATATCCTTCCTTTCCACTGATGTTTCAAGAAACTTACTTATATAACTTGGCCTCCATGTCACGTTTCTATCTTCATCTTCATTTTTTGTGGTCAATTTATTTCTTCATGGTTCCATGGTTCCATGTTTTTCAATACAACACTTTGATTTGATGGCCTTTTAACTCTATAAATCCAGAAGATGCTGCAAAAACAAGTGAAAAAAATGGCACCCACAACACTTTTTCTCATGCAAATTTGGTTTTGGATCACATGCAATGCCGATGCCACAAGGCCTTCACCAAAATTCCCAGCCATTCTAGTCTTTGGTGATTCAACAGTGGACACTGGCAACAACAATTACCTCAAAACAGTGGCCAAGGGTAACCATTTCCCCTATGGCAAAGACTTTCCTGGTAAAGTTCCAACAGGCAGGTTTTCTAATGGAAAACTTGTCCCTGACTTCATTGCCTCCCTCTTAAAGATCAAAGAAACCGTTCCTCCTTTTCTTGATCCAAGCCTTTCAAACAACGACCTTGTCACCGGTGTCAGCTTTGCGTCAGGGGGATCCGGATACGATGATATAACTGCTGCCGTTGTCGGGATCATGCCATTTTCAGAGCAGATTGAGTTGTTCAAGAAATACATTGTGAGAGTTGAGGGGATTTTGGGGGAAAAGGAGGCTGACAAGTTAATTAAACGTGCACTTGTTATAATAAGTGCAGGTACCAATGACTTTGGTTTTAATATCTATGACATACCCACAAGAAGATTAGAGTTCAACATTACTGGGTACCAAGATTTTCTGCAGGAAAAGCTGCAAATGTTCATTAAGGTAAAGTATGATAAATTCCTATCCCTTTCACATTTAATTTTATTTTTATTTTTTGCTTGTTTTTTTTTTTTTTTTTTTTTTTTTTTTTTTAGCTGTAATTTGGAGCTTTCAGAAAGATCTTAAACATGTGAAGCATCTCATCACAAGCACATATGTGTTACATCAAGCCTTTTTCAGAAATATATATTGTATTCAACATGTACATTATTAATTTACAATAATTTTTCATGTCTATATATATATATATATATATATATATATATATGTAGGAACTGTATGAGCTTGGATGCAGAAAAATAGTAATAGCAGGGCTTCCTCCAATAGGCTGCCTGCCCATGCAAATAACTGCAAAATCTGAAAATCCAAAGAACAGAAGATGTGTAGACAATGAGAATTCAGATGCCCAAATTTACAATCAAAAGCTTGCAAAACTATTGCCCAAGATACAGTCACTCTTTCCAGCGAGCAAAATTGTCTATGCAGATGTCTATGAGCCATTAACTGACATGATCAACAATCCACAAAAATTTGGTGAGCAAAAGTTATTTTAAATTATTAATCTGTGTTTAAATATGATTATTAAATTATTGGTTCTTTCTTGTGTATAAAGGGTTTGTGGAAACAAAGAAAGGCTGCTGTGGTACAGGGCTTGTGGAAGCAGGGCCTCTGTGCAATGCATTGACACCACTATGTGCCAATGACTTGGAGTACTTATTTTGGGACAGCATACATCCCAGTGAAGCTGCCTACCAATACATTTCTAAGTACTTGGAGAAGGAAGTCCTTCCAAAGCTTGCTTATGATCATCAATCACAGCAGTTGATTAGTCTATCCGATCTGACAGATGATCGATACTGATAATGAATTTCTCCGTTCGAGTTCCATATACCTTGTGTGATTTCATTTCCACTTACATCTAGCTTGTAAAGTTATTTACTTGATTTATATGCAACTATCAAGGGAAAATGGAAATTGCCAATATTAATGCAGCCCAATTAAGTATATAAATTTCTGTGTTATGTTGATTTCTTGAAGTATGAAATTGAATATGTAAATGTGGGTACTTACAATGACATCAAGAAAAGCTGTCATAAAAGTATTTCTTCAAACTGGTTCTCTACGCCAAAATATATCTTCCATAAACCATTGTCGGGTTTTGGCAAGTGGGTTGCTGATGAAAGTTGCAGACAAGACCTACCACCGCCACCGCCACCGCCGCCGCCACCACAACCCCCATCACCGTCAGGAACCACCGTTTTTCTTTTGAATTTGAAGGGTTTTTACAAGTTGCCAAGTCAGTGAACCAAACACTCTCTAAATCACCGTCTCAGACAAATTTTAGGCATGAATTGGAAAAATACAACTCCAACTATATCTCCTAAAATAGGGAGACCTCCCCATTTGGTTCATGGGAAAGGAGGCTTGGAGATGGGAAATCAATTGTTTTCCCATGTTTGGTAAGTCTAGACATTGAAAATGGTTGCTTGGCATATGAGAAAGTAGGGGGAAAGTAAAGCCCTCCTCTCAACTTGGGTTTTGTTTTCCCTCATCATGGGAAAGTTTGGGAAAATGAACCAACATTCAATGCACATTTTTCATGACCATTTTGTACCCATTAATAATTTAAAATTACAATGTATCATTAAATGCATTATTATTTTTTATCTGATTTAATATGGGTATAAACAAACTTTGTTTTCCATTCCTACTCAAAACAAACATAGGAAAAGAAACAAAATGAAATCTCCCGATTACTTTCCAAGTATTACCAAACGTGGAAAATGAATCTTCCATTTCTCATATATTCGGAAAGAATAATGCTACTCTTACCACATTTGTATACCATCTTATGTGGCAGCTGAGGTGGACAGTCACATCAATTAAAATTATTTAATATTTTCTTTTCTTTTATGATTTATTCCAATATTTATTTTTCTAATTGTCTTAATTAAAATACACTTAATTGATTTAATTAATGTGGCATATAATATGAACATGTCACATCATGTAGTATAGAAACGTTGAATAAAAATAGGGCAATGATTTCCCCACTCCTATTTTATCCACTTGCACTCCTTTTTTAGTTATAAAAAAGGAGTGTAAGTGGATAAAATAGGAGACAAAGGAGTGGGAAAATCACCACTCTAAAAATATGGTAAATGTAGCATTACTCATTGGGAAATGACATGTCCCCTCAAATCCGTTTAAATTTTATAGAGAGCTCCTAAAATAACTTGTATATATTTTTAACTAACATTTAACTGAAACTACTAATAGATGGTTTTCAAACCCAAAAACTACTATGGGTCATGTAAATTAGTTGCAGGAATGTGTTTAATCAGCAGAGACAGCAAAACAGCAATTGACATGCAACAAAAGAAAATTAAGAGGACACCAAAACCTATGATTTCCAATGAAAATCGTAAAACCAAAACTTATGAGATTGATAACAGCACCAATCTATGGCATTCAAAAATAAGAGGGGAGGGGACAAAAGAAAAACTGTACTACACACAAGCAAACATCTAGAGTACAAGGTGGTCACAAGTTCTTTCGGACCATTCAATAATAATACATAAACAAAACTTTTCTTGTAAACTTCCTTTTTTGAGTACATACAGACAACCATCACAAGCAGCTTAAGCTTCTTCACTTCCGGCCAGCGCCGGCGGATCCTCGACTGCCCCGAAACAAGTCATTAATCTTAGCCTCGATGTCCTCATTAGCATACTTAATGTACTTGTCATGCCTCCCGATTTCTGGCACATTCTGAAACCTTCCGATAAAGTTCTGATACGCCGGCAACAAGATTTTCGCTAGGGCAATTCTCAATTCGTCCCTGAGCTGATCGTCGAAAACGACCCAATTGCATTGAGTTTTACAGATCTCATCGAAGTATATGTTGAACAATTTGAGCTTCTCTTTCATTGACTTGACAGCAACATTAGGTGCCAATGAGCCACTCTCAAGCTTCAACACTCCCAACACCTTATTCCATGAGCTTCTCTGGTAATTCACATGGTACTGCCGGACTTTCGCAGTGTGTTTTCGGATCCAATCGTCGCCCAAAAGCGATCCTAATTCGCTGTCTCTCACTTTCTGTACAATGTACCTCGAGTTGTTCATCATGAAAACATAGCACAAAGCAGAGTCCCTGTAAATCTTTGACTTGGCCTCTAAATTGCTCTCCAAAAGCTCCATAATCCACGCCATTTGGACCGACATCGAAGAAGATGAGGCTCGATCATCGACCTTGGGCTGATGAGGGACCGCAGTGCTGTCCTCGAAAACTTGCTCGAGCGTCTGGCGCGATCGGCAAGCTGCTCGGAGATAATTCATCACGTATCGAGTGATAGGATGAAGTCCGCCACCAGGAACTGGGCTTTTGGCGGGATCGCGACTGATCAGATTCTCTAACTCCATGAAAATGCCTCTGATAGCTTCGCCTAACCTTTTCCAAATCGTCATCGCTTCGTTCCTGAGAAACAAACAGTACTGATCCGAAAACACGGACTCGAACTCAGGCATCAAATCCCGCAAGCTCTCGAACACGTCTAGAATCTTGAACAATCGCTCCGGCGATCGGCTTCCGATGGAGACGGCGTCGGCGAAGTTGAGTATCTGAATCGTCGAGCCTCGACAAACCTCCATGAACGAGAGGTCGGCAGCAGAGGAGAGGCCGTAGAAGACGCGATCGCAGAGTCTACGTTCGCTCGGGAACAGAATCCGAAGCGCTACGTTGGCGGATTTGATCCATCGCTCGATTTCGTCTTCGAGGTCTTGCCATGGCGTCTTCTGAACCTCTTCGATGCTCAGCTTGTGCAACCCTAGCCTCGATAAGCTCTCCTCCAAGAACTCCCTCCGGCAGCTGCTGTACACGTGCGAGCACTCTTTCCCGAACCCCGCGGTCACCATGCGCTTCGCGATCTCGTGGAGGTCGTTGATGGTTCCAGAAGGAAGCGCATCGATCACGATGTCGTAGTCCCCAATCGGCTGCGCCGTAGGGATCTGGTGGTCCTCGCCGTTTCCGATCATCTCCTCTTCCTCTTCGTCGTCCCCCGAGTCAAACGACAAGTTGCCGTTCGACTCGCCGCGGTACGCTCGACTGAGTTCGAGTGACTCGCCGCCGCGTTCAACCAGGGACCTGAACTCGTCCTCGAGGCGGAACATGGCCTGCTGCATGAGGTCCTCGGCGCGCGCGAGGCAAACGCCGACGGACTTGTCGACGGCCAGCGGCGTCCAGTCCCTGATGGTGGCGATGAGCTCGTCGATGGAGTCCAGGAAGGCCGAGGAATCGGCCGAGTCGGACCAAATCGGATGGTCGGCGGCGACGTACTGGGAGATCTGACGGTCCAGGGACTTGAGCGTCAGTTCGAGAGCGGCGCAGCTCCGAGGTCGGTCCTCGTCGTCGGAAGCCAATTTCTCGCGAGAGAACCTGCCGTCGAAGTTGGAGAAAATCTGCAAAATATCGTCGGCCATGTTGTCGTTGTGGCCCAGCGTCTTGGCTATGTGTCTGGCCACGGCTAGCAATTTCTCCTCGCCGTTCTCAGCCATTTTTGGATGTTGAAACAAAATCGGTCTTCTTGTGGATAGAGTTAGTGTTAGAGAGTCCTGTAGGTGTTTGATTTTAGGTCAGTGTAGGGAGATTTTAGGGTTACGAAATTGAGAGCAAAAATAGGAGGATGGTTTTGATTTTCAAAGATTTCATAATTTCATTTTGTTGGAATTAATAACCACAAAGCCAAAAGCCGTGAAATGTGGGCTGCTGAAGTTGAAATTGAACAGTACTATGTAGAGGTTCGTGGAAGGTGATTGGAAAACACGCGGTTTGGTGGTGGGGGAAAGAAGAAGAAGAGGGAAAAGATATTTGTGGGCAATTTTTGCTTGGTGGATTCTCTTGGGCCCCTTTGGATTGGACTTTTGAATTTCTTGGAGTTTTTTAATTATCTGGACTGCTTTTATCTAAATTCGAGTAAATGGAATGGATAAGAAAGAGTGAGACGTGGGGATGTTTGTAAATGTAAATTCAGTCGGTTAAAGTAGTGTGTCCGTTTACGATTTCAAACACTCTTTTCTCGGGTTCAATTACTTTTTTTTTCGTATATTAGAATAATTTTAAATTTTACTCTTGCGATTATAAAATATATATATATATATGTGGCGGAATTTTAAAGGGGAGAAGGTTGAACGGGTTTGGAGCTTTAGACTTTATGTAGATTAGGACAGGTGAAGTAAAGTAAAAGTAAAGAGTTTTTGGTTGTTTTGGCTTTGGTCTAAAGTATTTTATTTTATGGATGACTGGAATTCAAAAGACGTGGAGACCGCTACTTGAAAAATCTGGACGGCATGGTGTTGCTTTTACCGTGAGCTTCTGCTTTAGCATGCATTTGGCATCTTATTGGGCTTACTTAGAAATAAAATAAAATGCCACGTGGTGGTGGGTAGAGCTTCTGAGCTACGAATTCAGTGGACTGTCTCAGGTTACGCGTTTAGCATTTAGTTTTTGGAAGTGCACGCTTAAAGAAAACCAATAAAAATGGCGTCCATTATCTCACTGTATATTTGTTAATTAATGCAGAGGGGTTGGTTCTTCGTTGGGGGTTGAGGTTCTGTGCACTTATGTTACGGCTGCATCGTCTTCTTTTCCCAATTAATGTCATTAGTAACTGCTCGTCGTTGCATGTGTATCTCGTATTATATTAATTATAAAAAATGTCCCACAACCAGAGATTGAACTAAGCGAAATCTTTCCCCAAAAAAACCCCAATTAGAAGATATGGAGAATGTCAGTACTACATTAACAAGATATTTCATTATCATAACCAATACTTTGGGTCTGTTAAGATTCATTTGGTGTAAATTCGGTTTAATTGGATTTAAAACACTGATTCGAGTTGCGTTGCGTCATTCTTGTTTTTCTTTCTTTTTGGAGTTAACGTGGGTGGAAATTTAGCATTTTTTGCTATGGAAGTGTTTGTCTATTTTTTCCTTCCTCTTTATAGAGATAATAAAGTTCCGGAAACTGAAGATTTCTCTATCCAGCTCCAGCATAATAGCAAGTTAAAACGAAAGCTAAAGATTTTATCCATTTAGCTGTTTTATAAAGAGCAAGTTACAATATTGAAGAAATTGGAGATTTCTCTTATCTAATTTGTGCAAGTCTCAGATGTTTAGAAGGAAACTAGACTGACTATTTAAACAAGAATCATACCATAAAGATGGCGCAGTAATAAAAAATAAACGCATGAGTTGTCAACTGGTTATCTGGGCAGCAAGTTGGCTATTTGAAAATCTTGAAGTTTATTCAAGTGTTTACAAGACGTTGCATCTGATTTGGGAGAGAGAGTCCTTGAGTGTTGCTGTAGAGCCTCTATATTTATAGACAAAATCTTTAACGATGACAATGAAGGTTGGATGATAACACTTGAGTGTTGTCCAAAGTCAGATGTCGATTTGTCATTGTGAGTCGATCCACATGTAGGAGAAATCTCCGATGAAAACACTAGTTTCAAGGGATATCCCTATGATTTGTCATCTTTTCGCAGTTAGAAAACTAGTCGGAAGACGATTCCTCTTGGTTTTGGTGTAAGTTAAATCTCGACACACTTTAGTCCATTTTTCAAATATGGTATAAACATGAAGTCTCCTGATTATCAGGTAAATCTCGACACTATCAGATAAATACGAGAGATATCAAGTAAATCTCGGAGATAGAGGGCAAGAAATTGTTTCATCCCTATTTTTTCAAGACAATGGGTTATCTTGAAAAAGAGACATATATGATGTATTGGTGATGAGGCACTATTTATGGCCAAGGCGTAATCTGTCCACGTGATATAATAATAAGAAAATAAAAAATAAAAAGATCGCCCATCCTACCTGATTGGCCAAGCAACGCAAGCAAACCGAATGCTTCGCAACACACAAAACTCCACAATATAATAATCACCGTCCATTCCTTTATCCACGGCTACAGATTCTCCAACCCCAAAATAATCTATATAATCTCTCTTTTTAGTTTTTACCATTCGACCCAAAAAAAAATCTGCAACTTCCTCAAATCTCTGATAAAGTCTCGTCAGTCTTCTTCAGTCTTCTTCATTCTTCTTCCAATCGTGCACCCAAATTTCTCTCGTATTTACACCAATGTCCTCGCCTCCCCCGATCCCAATCTCATCCCAACAATCCTCCCACAACCACAAATCCTCCATCACCATCCCGATCCCATCTTTCCGCCCCATCCTCACGCGCCTCTCCGGCCTCTCCCGCCACGCGCTCTCCAACAGCCGCCCCTGGACCGAGCTCATCGACCGTACCGCCTTATCCAGACCGGGCTCGTTCTCCGAGGCCGCCTCGCGGGTGCGCAAGAACGTCGCCTACTTCCGCGTCAACTACCTAATCGTACTCGCGGTCGTACTCGCCTACTCCCTCATCTCCCACCCCTTCTCTCTCCTCACCCTAGTAACCCTCTCAGGCGCATGGATCTTCCTCTACGTGCTTCGACCGTCCGATCAGCCTTTAGTGATCTTCGGCCGCACGTTCTCGGACACCCAGGCCCTGTTCGGGTTGGGCCTCGCGACGCTGTTCGCTATCTTGGTTACGAGCGTATTGTCGCTGATTCTGACGGCGGTGATGGTGGGGGTAATGATCGTGTGCGCTCACGGTGCATTTAGAGATCCCGAGGATCTGTTCCTCGACGATCAGCAGCCGTTGGCTTCCGGGTTCACTTCAATATTCGGCGGTGGGGACCCTGCGTTTGGTTCTGCGAGTGCCAGTGTGATGTCACGTGTCTAGGTTGTGATGGTTGATGGTCGGGACTCGGAAGACGTACATACTGCTTAGCTACACAGTATCACACTCCCGTGGGTCGGGTCATAGGTGCTTAGATCTGGTTATAATAGGGATAGGACTATTCATTACTTAAAGACAATTTGTTTTGTTCTCTCAAGTTTGCATTTTTCTTTGTTTCGTTTATGGCAATTTTTATTGTATCTGATTTTATTAATTCTAATACCATAGCCTTTTTTTCTTTTAACATACATTAAGGTATTTTCTTCTTATGTATATAGATAATAAATTTGCTTATTTATGAAGAGTGCTGTTAAATGAATTCTAAAATTAACTGATCTTGATATTTTAATTAAAATGTAAAATTAACTAAGTACATCTTATTTAATTATCAAAAATATCCCTTGAACAACCTAATACACTCTCTCACACAACACTTTAGTGCCAATCCTAAAATAGGTTTCATTTTTAACATGAATTCGAGCCACCTTTTCAGATTTTGGGTTCGCATTAAAATCTTTAATTTCATAAGTTATTGTGGAAGTAGATTTGCTAGCTCATTTAATTTAAAGCTTGATTCTTGTAAATCCTTGTAATTTTCTTCGAAATATGTGGAAGAGACTCAAACATCTCTATTAAATTACTAGTGAAATGCATCATCACCAGTCCGAAATCCGTGAGAATTTTGGATGCTTCCAAGTAAGAAGAAAAGTTTAAACCCTGGGATTTTAAAGTCATCCTCATCTACTTCAACTTTATTGTATGGATGGAGTTGAGCTAAGAGCATCTCCAAGGGAGATGTCAAATACCAAACATCAAATTTAAATTTGATGGCTGATGTGGCAATTTGACATCTTACAGAGTTTTACACTTCACCCGATATGTCAAATTAAATTATTACTTTATTACATTTTAGTGTTGATTCATTTTTAATTAATAAGAAAAGAAAAGAAAAAATAATAAAATATTCATTTGACATCTTGCTTTTGGGATGTCAAAAATAACATCTCAACCTCCAGCCTTCATTCCACATCAGCTTTGACATATCGGTTGGAGTGATGTGAGATGTTATTTTTAGCTGTTAAATGTCTATGTGGCACATTTGACACATCGGTTGGAGATGCTCTAAGAAGTCAGATTGGAATAAACTTTTTCATTCAAATATTTATGCCCGTCTTTTGCATTAGGAAGAATCAAGTACATAGAGAAACGCCGACACTTGTCTTTCGCAATGTTTGTAAGGAAGCTCTAAGTCTTTGAAACATCAAAGACCCTTAAAATTATACGAAAACTTCTCCACGTTTAATTATGATTGAATATGATGAGTAAAGTGTACTTATTAAAATTATATTTGTTTCACAATTCTATATATCTTTTTTGGTCATTTCATATTAGGGTAAATTAGTAATTCAATAAATACTTTAGCAAATAGGATGTACTCAGTTAATTTTAGGGTTCGTTTAGCAGCACTCTTTATGAATCTAACAATTGACACAAATTTCTACATGATACTATAATCCCCAATCTCACATCACAACATCAACTTACAAAATATACAATGAACAATGGGAAATACACACGGATACTATTATTGGTGTAGCAAAGTCATCGAATAACACTACTACTATAACAAATAGCGTAATTACATCGATATGATCTCGATATCGTCAGTATTGTCCCATTATCTCAATAACAATCAGTTCTATATGGTATTATTATGACCAAGACAAAGTATCAATTTGCTACAATAAAAGTGTTATTTAAGAAATTTGTTCAGTCAGAGTACCATTTGAAAGCATTTCCCATGAATGAGTATGTCAATAAATTTTCTTTCAAATAAACCACAGATATAAGTACGTCAAACAGATAGAGCGAGTCATCATGTTCACTTTTAAACAAGCATTTGAATAACCAAGCTTAATTACACGACGAAGAACTCTGTCGGTGAACAGAAGGATGTAAAGCACATCTCCCATTTGAATGCATTGGGGCTTTCGGGGAAATAAGCAACCAAAATTCCGCAAACAATTGAAGCCGAACAGTTCAGAGCAGAGCACCAAGCAAAGCAAGCCGTCCGACAATCTCCCACCCAACACCAACAAACTCAGATGCAGAAACTCATGGATTAAAATGCTCCAGATATCAAACACGTAGCAAGCAATTTACATTTTCAACTCTAAAATCGTGTGATCATCTATATCTAACAGATACAACTTTGGGAAAGTTAAATTTATAAACTACCAAGTGCTCCATTTTTCTCTTTTCGTTTATTCTTATGCATGTAATGCAATTTCCTTTGAAGTGGGTATCAATTGGGTTGAAGGAAAAATAAATAAAAGGCGAAAATTTCATTTACAGCATCACACGGTTCAAGTGCTCTCTCTAGAATACGAACTGGTCTCTTCGGCAACCTTTGACCACACATTTGAAATTTTTTCAGCATATCCCACCTGTTTCATTATACAACAGAACAATATGCGTTACATGGGAGTGAAAACAACAATAAAGGATCTAAATGGAAATAGTAAATATTCAAAGAATGACTTGCATATGACAAGCCACTATAATACACACGTTAGAGGTCACGGATACATGTTGAAGCCAGGGGTAATTACATTTAACTTGTCTTTGGCTCAAAATAAGAAATATAGCATGCACCCCATGTCCTAAATAAGGCAAGGGGGAAATCAAAGCAGATAACAGAGTACGTGCAAAGAAAACACGTACTGTCAACTCAGTCTCAGTAAGGAATTGTTGCAAATATTAAGATTTAACAAGAAAAGAAAAGGCAAACACCAACCAAAGATGTAAAATCATAATTGAAGTGGGAGGAAAGTCGGTTATTCCTGCTATTGATCCATTTATTCTGTTAACCACCCTTGCCTTTTAAGGGGGGTACTGATTAATCAACAGTTATTACTGAACAGAATGTAATGGTGCCAAAATAATTTATATTTAGCTGTCAATCCCAACTACAAATCAACTCTTGGCTAAGCTACCCACTAGATATACTAGTCTCTCTTCCACTTGCATGCAGTCATTTACTCAAAGCATCCCTTTTGGCAGATTAACTCACAATTGACTAAAGGACTAAAGCATCTCAACAATCATATGCTTTGGCTAAATCACTATAGATTTCTTTCACTTCCATAACTACGGCTTACATTTTTATCTAGAAGGGCCTGCTAGATTATTCATCTCATATAACACAGATGAACTCATGGGAGACCAAAATTCGTTTACATGCAGATTCTTAAAGGGTAAAAGACAAATTTTCTACATAGCTATGTAAACAGGAACGCAATCGGTAAGTACCTGATTAAGCACAAATCCCTTCAACATGTTCAAGAAGTCAGCATGCCTCTCGTGGTCAAGCCTTTCAAGTTCACTCTTGTTATTTTCCTGCATTTCATCATAATCATTTCTAAGTTTTGGGTAGGATAATATTGAGACAATTGAACGGGGAGCCACAGCAACTATGCAAATAGAAAATAAATATATACAATCAGAAAATTTCTAATATCAAGATCAAGTAAATGTCAAATATACAAATAGATCCATATTGCATCTGCCGAAAGGGCATCCCAATTCACCAGAACAGAAAGAATTTTTAAAAAGTAAAAATTTAGATAGCCTTAATCGCAAGGGGAGAAAATAAAGCAGTTATAAGAGACCAAAAAGATGCAATAATTTGTCATCAGAAACTGAACAGACACACCAAAACCAACTGTAACTTTATGCATATACAGATTTCTTAGCATCAAGACATGCAAGGATGGTTTGCAAAAGCACAAGATCAATTTCAGTTACCCTAAAATAGTTCTTAAATAAAAAGAAACTTGGGCTTCCAGAAGCATATACTTCTTCATCCTGTACATGCACCAACAAATAACATCCAAGAGCTAGACTGTTTAAGATCAATCTTTGCATAATGCCCATCCCTCACTGTGAAGAACAGCCAAGCCTTTCACCTCATACACTCAGTGGACTGCCACAACTTGTAAGCTTTGATGGATTAACTAATACCCTCATACAGGTGCAATTTGCTGGGCTCTGCCTACACCTTGTATCAGCAGAGCGGAAATAGAAGACACAAGATACAAAGATGAAGTAGTTGTCAGATCCCATCTCAACAACTACGTATCAAAGAACAGCACGGCCAAATACCATCACTTCTTAGCACTAACAATCAAGCTACATGTGTGCCTCAATGCTATGAGATTATCATATAACCAGAGTAAGGAAATTCCTTGGAGGGAGTGAGGCTAGACACATTATTAGGACAAGAATGCTAGGCATACAAAATAAATCAAACGAAAGCATCTGTGAAAGCTAGGCATAACAGCAGATGAAAATTGATGAGGAAAGTATGTGCGGCAAAAACCAATGCCTGTACCAATTAGGAGAGAACAATGCCAGCACTACAAGGGCCAAAGGGGCAGCTATACATAATGAGGATGAAACACTAGGAAACAAACATGACAACCTAGGATTTAACAAAAGTAGAACCAAAACAGGCGCAGGACAAAACACTGAAGCATTTGGGATGCAAAACCTTCACATACAAGTTTAGATAAAGTTTGCAAGGTTTCTGATTTATTAACGCATATTTTAAGTACCAAGTATTGGAAAGATTATCCTCTGTATCAGTACATTAAAAATAATTTCAGGGATACAGTGGTACCTTGATCCGCTCATATTCTCTGATTGCCACATTTTTAGCATCCTCAGTGACTCTTATGGTTTCATTTAACTCCTCTAGCTTGCGAATCCTTGATTTGTCGCCACCAAATATTTTATTTGATTGAACTTCAAGTTTTTCAGCTCTTGATTGCAGCATATCCAGTTCTGATAGTAGAGTCTGCACTGTTAATAAAGCACTTGACCGATCCGAGAATGCACTGTTGACAGCTAACATAAGCCCAAGATATTCATGGAATGTGTCCTGCAATACAAATCGTATGAAAATCATTATTACAATTGTTGGGTTTCCTTCTAAAGTAACATTGAAAATCAGTTGAAGAGAATACGAACTGAAGAGAATATGCTATATATACACACATTAATAACCAAATTAACCTTATAGTTGGAAACATAATGAATAACAAAAAGGGCTGCAAAATTACCAAATGTTTGACAGTCTGAGCATTTAACTCTCGATAGAATCTGCTAGCTTTGACTGCAGCAGTTGCCACATTCTTCATGTCAGCTGCTCGCACTCTTTGAGAGTTGAACAAGGCCTCCTCATTCTCAAACTTGGTCAGTTTTATAAACGCCAGTCCTAACTCTCCCATTGTCTCTCCCATGTCTTGTTGGGCTTTCACAAGTGATTCAGCCTATTAAGTTATAACAAAAACATGAGTATCAATCCAAGCAAACTAATCACTCAAAAAACTCGCAATACATTCAATTTCAGTATCCATTACCTGCTGAGACGCATTGCTGAGCTGTTGCTCCAGCTCCTGCATCTTCTCTTTCTTCTCCAAAAACTCCTTGTCCTCCTCCCCCACCAGCGGCTTCGAAGCTCCCCAATCATTAGACATAGACTGCTTCAACTCCTTGAACAACCTCAACAAATCCCTCCCGCCCTTCGCCGGCTGAACCACCTCTTGTGGCGCCAGTACCGCCCCGCTCTCCCCGAACAACTGCTTTGGAAGCTTCACTGCCCCATCAAGCATCCTCGACGCCACATCAGTGGTCAACGGCAGCGGAAGCCTCCCCTGAACCTGCAAAAAGACCTTCAATTCGTCGCTTCTCTTGATCACTGGGTGCGAAGCCAATCGCCTCAAGTACTTTTCCAATGCCACTCTTCTCTGCTCCACAAACTCCTGTTTCTGCATCACCTGACTCTCCACCACGCTCTTGTCCGGCCTCGGCGGTATAAAGAACCCTCTGTACGACTCGGCCAACCGGTCCGATAACGTCACCACATCCCGAAACCTTCGTCGGACTCCGAATTCCGATCCGCCGAAATCCGGAATGTTCGTCCGAGTCGTGATCAGGTACGTGACATAGGTGTTGCCTCCCGGAACGATCGAATTCGTGGTCTCCTGCTCTTTCTGAGGATTCGAGACCGTGATTTTAATGTACTCGGAGGTGGAAGACGGAGATCGCGAGAGAGAGTACAAGCTCGAATTGTCGGAGCTCTTGCTGGGGCTCTCGATGCCGTTGATTTCGGCGATGGTGTCGGCATCGAAGGGACTGAATATCACGTCGGCGTAAGCAGGCGGGTCGAGGTATGTGGAGTTATCGGGGGCGGAGTTAGGGTTTCGGAGATCGCGGTACGGTAAGGGCGATATTAGGGGATCGGCGTCGGCTGGGGCGGCGGCGGTGGTGGCGGGGACGAGCGGGGACGACGACGAGAGAGGGTGGTGCGTATCGGAGAGCGACGACATGGTGCTGCGATAACTCGAGTACGATTTATTGCCGTTCAAAGGCTCGTCGAGCACGAGATTTTCCATTTCTTCCTTGGACGCGTAGAGCTGGGCTTCTTCGATGCCCTGTTTTTCAGAGCCCATCATCTCCTCCACCAAAATGAAATCAATAAAGAAGAAGGAAAAAGAAGGAGCAGGAGCAAAGCAAGCAATTCCAATTAATCTAAAAACTGAAGCAAAGCTTGATTTGAGGTGGTGAGGGGCATTTTAGGGTTTTGAGGGGTCTGGGAGACATGCAGAAATGTGACTGCTTTGGCAGAGGTGGGTTGAAGAAGACGATCGATCGGATCGGACTGAGCGAGCGGAAGAGGGTGGAAGACAGAGAGGGTCACATGGATTTTTGGGTGGGCTGAGAAACGATAAAACTGTGAGAGAAAACGACGGGTTTAGTTCGCTGGATCTTCGGGCTCACGACGGGATATTTTTGCCATTGGAGTTTGGAATATTGTACTTGCCTTTACTTGGATTGGTACTTCCCGCATTTCGAACTTGGTTGACATGATGACAAGTATTGGATAGGCTAAGATCCACGAGTATGTTTGGTTTTATGATAATTCACTTAATAGTGTTCGAGTATACGTGAGTATGTTCCAAGGATATAAATTTATTAACTTCCATAATCTGATTCTCTACACTTGTAACTAATGTTATTATCATATTTAATATCCTCAAATGAGCACTAACAGTCAATTATTCCATCAAATAGGTGAGGTATATGTCTAGCTTTTCCAGACTTGCGGTTTTTTGTTGGAATTTCTTAAGTCATGTATAGATATGAGTATTGATTATATTAGTACTAATCCTTGTGGCTGATGATCTTTAGGCCTACATTTGTGAATGCAATCTATAATCTTTTTCTCTAACAAAATAAGCCATAATGTCAAAGACGACTCAATTATACAACATGGAAGAGTCATTTACTTTATTCATTTCAAATGTTAGATAAATGGTAATAATCATTTGGTCTAATATAATCCGTCTCCACTTTATTGGAATTAGTACTGATCCTTGTGACTGATGATCTTTAGGCCTATATTTTAGAATGCAATATATAATATTTTTCTCTAACAAAATAAGTCATAATGTCAAAGACAACTCAATTATACGATATGGAAGAGTCATTTACTTTATTCATTTCAAATGTTAGATAAATGGTAATAATCATTTGTTCTAGTATAATCCGTCTCCACTTTATTGGAAGAGTCATTGAAGGAATCAATTGCATAGTATTAAAAGTAACATTATCTGTATTCATCTATATTATACATGAAGTCCCCCTTTTATTAAAATATATTATATATAAGAATTATTTGAGGATGCGTGACTCAATTGGAATATCTACAATACATTTTTATCAACCCAAATGTCCAAACGTCCAAACGGAGTCTTTGTAAACCGGTACTCGGATGAGGTGCAGGGTCCGGATCACTTTCTAATCGGAGATTTGATTAACACCGCATCCAAACACTCAGATTAGGTTTTCTTTTTCCACTTCTTTACTTCAGTTGCTTCTTCCTCATTATCGTGGCTTTCCGAAGCTTCAAGTAGCGCAAGTGATCTCCAACCAAACTAACAGAAACTCGACACACTTCTGTAATCGACGAGCCTCGCTAACCCTAAAAAACCAGACCTCTCCAATGGCGTCCAAGTTCGGGTTGGCTGGTGGAATTCCGGAGCGGCGGGTCCGACCCATTTGGGACGCCATCGATTCTCGCCAATTCAAGAACGCTCTCAAGCACGTCTCCACGCTCCTCTCCAAGCATCCCAATTCGCCCTACTGTCTGGTAAATGCCTTAATCCGCCGTCGTTTTGCTTTTTGCTCTGCCATAAACCGCTGACTTAGTTGGCGTGTTCTGTTCTTTCGCTTTTAAATGTTTCCTAGGCGCTTAAAGCTCTCATCTTGGAAAGGATGGGGAAATCCGACGAAGCATTTGCTGTTTGCCTCAATGCCAAGGAGCTTCTGCACTCAAACGACTCCGTTTTGATGGACGATCTCACTCTAAGCACATTGCAAATCGTTTTCCAACGGCTCGATCATTGTCAGTTTATACATATATATAAATCTTTGTAGCGTCTTGTAGCAAGAACAGAACGCACACATTGCCAAATGCCTTATTGTTTTCTTTGTAACCAGTGGACATGGCTACGAGCTGTTACGAATATGCTTGCGGGAGATTTGCCAACAATTTGGAGCTCATGATGGGGCTTTTCAACTGCTATGTTCGTGAATACTCATTCGTAAAGCAGCAACAGGTTGCTTTGTCTATTCTTTTATGCGAAATCTGTGTCTCCGTGCCTATTGTTTTTGTATGATTTGAGTGTTTATATATTTTTATTTTATTGTATCTATGGCAGACAGCTATAAAAATGTACAAACTTGTTGGAGAGGAAAGGTTCTTGCTATGGGCAGTGTGTAGCATCCAGTTACAGGTAACACCGGCTTTCTTTGCGCCCTTATTTTTGTGTATTGGAGAAAGAATTCTCACGGGACAAATCTTTCAAACAAGGGCCATAATTTGTTTTGTTCCCTTTAAGACTACGGCCATTTTATACTGGAATTCTCATCATGTGTGCTTCGTGTTGATTCTTGTTTGAACAAATGGGAGAACAATAAAGGAAAAACATGTTATACACTTGCTGATATTACATGGCTTCAAATTCTGTTAGGTCTTTTGTGGTAATGGTGGAGAGAAGCTTTTAGTCTTAGCTGAAGGTTTAATTAAGAAGCACGTTGCCTCCCATAGCTTGCATGAGCCTGAAGGTATACATTGTTGTGTTATTTGGCTTTTTTCTCACTATTTATCATTGCCTATCTCGAATATAAATTTTCTTTCATTGGACGCTGTTTATTTCTGCACTAAAAGCTCTTAATTTGCTTCAGCTCTTATGGTCTATGTTTCCATTTTGGAACAACAAGCCAAATATGGGGATGCTTTGGAAATTCTTTCTGGAAAATTAGGGTCACTTTTGATGGTTGAAGTTGATAAGCTACGAATACAGGTACTTTCTAACGCTTTCATTTCTTAATGCTGGACATTAATGATTATCTATTTCTCAAATTTGAATCTAACTGTCTATGGAGTATGTATCTACAAATGTTTCCACATGCCCTTGCCCTTTTAAAAAAAAATAAAATTTCATTTAGGAAAAGAATTGTAATGAGATTAAAAAAAAACATGTTTTTGTGCCAAAAAAACACATAAAAATGTATAAAACTCAATTTGAGTGATAACTTGTACTGGAAGAGGGCTTTCAGAAGCATGCTGTTCGTTTGATGCAATAAGTATTAGTCATATTATTGTTTGCTAATGTTGAAACTGCTATTGAAACATATATATATTTTATTTCCTTATTCTTTGTTTATTTTCAATGAAGAGTTCTATAGGAAACGAGTTTGATGCAGCAAATTTTCATATTTCAGTTACTAGAGTGACACTTTTGTCATAGAAAAGTACGTTGAACTTGCATAGAATTAGCATGAATTTAAAATAATTCAATGCTTGTGAAAATTGGAATGCCTTACAGGTTTAGCTTTTGGTAAGATTTAGCTAGTTTAATGAGGTGATGAATAGCTGAATTATTAGTTTACTGTAAAGAAATAACTCCTTCAAATACAAAAGAAGCCTACATTATAGCTTTTAGAAGTTTTGATAGTCTTACTTTCCCATGATGTTGTGTCCCACGATACACCTATGAGTCACTGTATAGGATTGCATATAACCCATTTACTCTGTTTGAGATTCTTTTGTCGGTCAAAACTTTTAAATCTTGTAGCTACTACCTGGAATGGATCTTTCACTTGTTTGCTTTTCTTACCAACTTGTCCACTTTGACTTTAAGTTGACAGGGGAGGCTTACTGCTCGGGCAGGTGACTACGCTGCTGCCGCCATCATATTTCAAAAGATCCTAGAATTATGGTATGATTGTGGACTCTTTTTTGCATGCCTTCATATGTTGCCTATGTGATTATCCAGGGCTTTGATATGATGTTTTTCTCTTTCTGGTCACTTTATTTTCATTTACTGATTTTGAACTTTAATATTGGTTCTTTCATCTGGCAGTCCTGATGATTGGGAGTGTTTCCTACATTACTTAGGCTGTTTGCTGGAGGATGACAGCAATTGGTGTAATAGGGACAACACTGATCCAATTCATCCTCCGAAATTTGTTGAGTGCAAGATTTCAAGCTTGGCAGACGAAAGGGTACAAATTACGCTTCTTTTTGTTTTTGGTTTTTGTGTTGGATCTGCTAATAAACAGTTAAATGGCGCTGGTGCATGTTTACCTTTGTGTTTTTGTTGTCTGATATGCATATTTCTAGCAGAGCTTTGCTGCAATATTTTGTACAGAATTTGATTATTGCAAATTGAAATGCAGTTTGATTCTCGTATGTCAAATGCATCGGAATTTGTACTAAAGTTACTAGAAAACATTGGCGATAACTTTGTAAGGTGTCCATACTTGGCAAATATTGAAATTGAAAGGAGGAGGCACTTACATGGCAAGGGGGACGATGAGAAGTTTTTAGATGCTCTAATCCAATACTTTGTCAGGTATATTACAGCTTTCCCATATTCTCCATAGTTTTCACTTGGAATTGCCCAACTTACTTATATGCTTTCCTTGTGTTGTTCATTGTGGCTGTTAGAATGATCAAGTTGATGCACTTTACACAAATCATTAACTTAATTATATGATTTATAATACCGCAGTCATTTTGTTTTCAAAACTAGGCTGGTTTATCGTGATATGTACTTTTGCTTATTGTAACAATTTGTTCGTCTATTTTAGAAAATCATGCACATACACTGCTGATTCATTTTTGCCATTTGATTTATTTCCAACACAGGTTTGGTCACTTGGCCTGCTTCACTTCTGATGTTGAGATGTTTCTTGAAGTCTTAACCCCTGATAAGAAGGCAGAACTCCTGGGGAAGTTGAAGGAAAGCTCTGGCTCCCTTTCAACTGATCCAACAAAAGTGCTTGGGCAGTCAATAACACTCTTTAAAATTCAAGAATTGATTGGAAACATGTTCAAGCTTCCTGTGGGTGGTGTGTATCTTGATTTTGCATCTGTTGTATTTCT